TACACATAGATTTGCGAAGTAAGAGATTGTGTCTTGTAAACATTAGGGACGTTCTTTTTTGTACGACAAAAAAGTCAAGTTGTTATAATAAAAGATTAATAAAACAGTGAGTTATTGTGGAGTTTTGTTTACATATACTTGATACGTTAAACTTTATTAATTATATTAAAATTTCGAGCATTTTTAAAATACCTTATATTTCAATTTCTTCTGAATATTAGCAAATCGTTTCTACTTGTATTTAAGAATCACAACAATAATATGTTTAACAAAACTCTAAAAAAAATAAATTACATCTAACGATCAATAAAATCTCAGATTTTTGTCGTATTTTTACTTAATATTAAACTTGAATTCATCATCTTATTTGAAGGAGACAAAGATATATATGTTTACTTACATATTACGCGATGTTCCTGAAATAACAATACGTTTACCAAATTTAAAAAAAATAGAGAATATCTAAAGGTTTATGAAGTTTCAAACTTGTAACATTTTTACTTAATATTATCAAGTGTAAATTTATCGTCTGATAAAGTACCCGTTTAGTACTGCAAATGCTTTGAAGCAACGGATAGACCAATTATATTGGTCAATTTATTTGACCTTTCGAAGCATTCGCAATACCGAGAGTAGATTTTGTTCTCAGCTGAAGGAGAGCATTTATTTGTATATTACACAATATTCTCGAGATGTTAACAATCATGCGAGTACAATTAAATGCGATATGCTAAACATCTTTTGGTTTTAACGTTGCAAGTACTTGAACAATCACTTAAAAGACCGCCTTGTTCGAAATATAGAATGTCACGTGACGTGCCAATCCGCGGCAATTTCGCGTTGTTACGCGCGGGTTCGAACGCGATCGTAACTGCTCCGTGTTTGTGGTGTCTTTTCAGTCGTAAAAAGTGCATACCGCATGCCGACGAGAGTCGGTAGTGTCGAATTCAGTGACGGGCGATCGTTTAAGCGTGTTATTTGGTTCACGGGAGTATGATTAAACGTGATGTCGTACGATGCTTATAACCAGTGTTGATCATGCCGCATCGGAACTACGAAGTCGGACCGGTGAAATGAAGTAAACGCATACGCCTCTACCCGACAAAACTAATGCTTTGAACTTGGCGTTTTCGTGCTTCAGTAAGTCTTTGTCCGTACTAATGTGCAGTATATATAATGTCTGTACTAATGCGCAGTATATATAATGTTGCGTCGAACCTTGTCTGGGTCGTTGATTAGTGTCGATTCTGTTAAGGATTGACTGCGTAAAATTCGTGAGTCTGATTGGTGTATGCTCTTAATTTTAACTGAATCTAAGAGCATGTACCAATCAGATTCGCGAATTTGACAACAGTTGCAAAACAGCTTTTTCTGCTGAACGTAGCCATTGTCCGCCATTAAAATGACCAGTGAAGGTCGGCCATTACCCATAAGACCCCTGTGGATCTGACGATAATCGAAGAGCGCGTACATTACCGACTGTTTCGAGCCTCCGCTATAAATATCGCCACGATTAGTCTATAATGCATTATCAATTTTATAGTATATCGTTCTCCTCGCGATCTGGCATAAACTCTCGTAAGGCGTTTATTATCATGCTTGATAGTATTTCGTCAGCAATGGAAATGACGCGTATATTTGGGTATTTCAGCAACATCCCAATCTGACTGCAACGATGTAGCGGCGGTCTCAATTCTTGATAATAAAAGGGATAACGCTTCGCTATGCGGGTACCTAGGTACACCCGCTTGGTGTGCGATAAGTTAGGCTATTGATCTTGTTGCTAGGTGGTCCGCGGGTGCTGCCACTGCCGCCGCCAGTAGAGCGGCGGCCGTTTCGAACGGCTAGCTCGGCTTCGCGTCGGGCACAGCAGATGGCGGCAGCGACGCGCGCGAGACAGTCCGCCGCGGAGTGACAGCTCGTGAACTGTCAGCGGCGGTAACCACGGGCGTCCCGTTGCGTTCCTGTTGTGAACAGACGTACCGCGGCCGGCCGGTGTGAAATAGCGCGACGTTTCCGTCCGGCAGGTCTCTCGTCCCGTCCCGATCGTTTCGCGCGCGATTCATCGCGAAAAAGAGCCGCGACCGCACGGTGGGTGCGCACGCAAGGGAGAACGGCTCGTCGCCGCTGTCGCCGGCTCGGCCAGTCTACTGGAAGATTCCATTGCGAGTGGGCTTTGAAAAAGTTCCGGACCCGTCAGCGAGTTTCCGCGGATACCGTCGCCGGGACGTCGTCACCGGACACATCAGGTACTGTGATCAGCAGCCGGCTGTCGAACGCTGATCGTCGTTTGTTCTCGCGAAATTCGCCGCGAGTGAATGAGTGAGTGAGTGAGTGAGTGAGTGAGCGAGCGCGCGCGTGAGAAAGAGAGAGAGAGAGAGAGAGAGAGAGAGAGTGAGTGAGCGAGACGGAAAGCGCGAGAAGAGGGTTGGGAGGGAGCGAGGTAGGTTGAGGTTATTACGGCGGCCGCTCTCTGGGTTCAGCTGGGCTCTCAGCTGATGCACCGACCGACCGGTTTGCTGCCTTCGAAGTCGATTCCTCCGACGACGCGGAGTGCTGCATTTGTTCGCGATCGTCACGCTTCGCCGCTGACAGTGACAATCTCGACTAATTAATCCCGGGATCGCTTGATCCTCACAGGATTATGCATGACTAGCTTTCATTCGCACGGGAAGGGCGAATTTCGTGAAAGGCCGCTTGATTAACGCTCATCGAGCCTGTCGCTTTTGCTGAAGGCGCGATTGCGATTCGCTGAGGCGGACAGTTAACCAGGCTCGGCGGAATCGAACGCTCTCGCACGACGCGAGTCTCACCCCGAGAACTGGTGACAACACTCGCGTCTGCTGTTTGTTCGAGCCGTTCACTTGAAAACCCCGGGAAGGTGTCATTTCGTCTCTTGTCTTTCTCACATCGTTCCTTTGTTCTCGAAATTGTCGCTGCAGAAATTTCGCTTGTTTTTCTCTTGCGTCTACAAAATTCAACATAAATTCAACATATAAATATAATTTATTCATGACATGACATTTGATGCCAAACTGAGACTGTTGTCATCTACGCGATTAATTATTATTTAAATTTCGCTCTGTTGACGCCTATGTGATTATCATCACAACTGATCCTACTATTTCTGGTATATGATTGTCGAGACTTAATTAGATATGAATATTAATTTTAAACATGTCCCGGGAGATGTTACGTGATACTGATTGGCTGTTTTAAATTCTTCCAAATTCACGTCAAAGTGCGTTTGTCCAAAAACACACATATGACAAATATTTCGTTTCTGTTTCGATTTATTAGAATCGTGTGACGCGCGAATTTTGTTAATGACTTAAAGATTGTATATGACATCTCTATGTGTATGTATGTGATCATTTTTACTTTTTCGAGAGCCTAGAGAAAAATCAGATCCGTCATTTCATACTCTTGTGTATGCACCTTTTGCGATCTTGTCAACGACAGAAGCGACTTTTCGTCCTCTCGTACGCGTACGTGACACTTCGCTCACCGTCGGTTTCACTTCGTGAGATTCTCTCGCGGTATCGCGACGCATAGCGTCGACTCCCTCGATGCCTCGGACGTAGAAACGTACATCGACGACGCGCACTGTCGACGTCACTTCGCATAGTGACCGATTGGTATATCTCCTACAACGAAGTAATTATTTTGCCAGGGAAATCGCCACTCTCACGCGTAGTGTTCACGAGTGAACTTTTTTTGCTTCGTACATATGTATACCTCAATTATAAAACCATAATTGTATCCGAAGGAGCGAGAGTTTCCTCGAGTAATCGGAGGAAAAGAAGACGATTAAATATCAGTCGCTACGGCATCTCACCGTTGATTTCTATATACTGCATCTGTGAAACATTAGCATTTACCGTATCCGGACGACTGTATATTATCGAAGTTAACAATCCTTCAAGCTGTACTTGCAGAGATATATGTTGAGCATACTTTCCGAGATTCATATAAAATTCTTCTTTTATTTATAGATAACTTATAAATTTTACAAAATTAAAGTCAGCATATATTCGTCGCGTCTAGTGTCGACTTTCGTAGTACGTGTAATCATGAAATTTCTCATTATGTGTCTCTGAAAACAGGCCGGTATAATTTCAAGGATCCTGTCCGGAAGTAATCCCATGTGATATTATTCATCTTGACGTAGCTCGTCTTTATGTTACACTTGAGGGGCATTGACGGGGACTATATAGTAATATATGTTGAGCGAATTTAATTCTGTAACCCTTATTACGAAGTCTAATCCACGCTCTGCTCTTCGCGCGATGTTTCACCCATTAAAGGACTTTTGTGCGTTGAAACGGTATATACGATGAACATAACGGTTACGAACGCGATATGACCACAAATTATATCTCTCCCGAGGGGTAAATAAAAAGTAAGCGGTCTAGTCTCGAGACGAGGTGAGCGAGCTATGCGGCATGTAATTTTGTCGATCATTTTCGGAGCTCTGTGTGTGTGCGTGTATAACGCGAATGTAATTATACAGAGTATTCCGCGTAAATGTTCGACGGCAGTCCTTTTTTTTTATTAATTTGAAATTCATTCGTCCTCGATGAAGATGGGAAATACTCAAGGGCCAATAGTTTCCGAGTAATTAGCGATTCAAAGTAAGGCACGCTATACGAGATAATGAAACCATATTTTTTCGTTACTCTCGGCCAACTTTTTCACTTAATACGATTTTAATTCGAGGCTTGCTTTACGAAACCACGTTGGAGATTAGAAAGTCGCGTTAAACTATAATCGTTCATACAAATCATCGCGCAACTTTTTCGTTGCCGCGCTAGACGTGTTACATTTATAGCGCGACATACAAGATGCGGCTTGATAAAAACGTGACGCGATGACAATCTGCATACGGACCGCAATTTTCCTCTCTCTCACTCTCTCTCTCTCTCCCCCTCCCCCAACTAATCTTATACGATATATCGCTCAACAATTGCGCGGTGTAAACACGTCAGTATTCTACATTTGACGCGAGAACGCACGAGACGCCGCGAAAACCCTCTCGGTGGAAAGTCCTCAGTGGAAGCGGCCGAAGGGGAAGGATTACGCGGCAAACGAGGACGACTCTGTCGCGGCACCGTTATCGCTCGCGAATCGACTCGCTTTTCCGTGAAGCGCCGCGCGCGCTGCACCGTCGAGGTCACCGCGCCCGGCTGCAGCTGAGCTTCCAGCTGACGAGCGGAGGCTGCGACCGGTTCGCCATGCTCCTTCCTCCTCCTCCTCCTGCGGCTCATGCTCTCTTCGTCTCTCATTTGCTGCCCCCCCGCCGCGTGTTCTTTTTTTATCGACCACCTCCTTTTTCCCTTTAAATCGCCTTTCACGTGTACCGCGCGACTTTGCCTTCGTCGTCTCTCTCTCTCTCTCTCCCCCCTCCTCCTGCTCCTCCTGCTCCTCCTCTTCCTCCCCCGCTCGTTCTTTCCCCCTACAGAAGTTCGTATTGTTCATCGCGCGCAGTCGGGAACGGCCGACTTCGGTGAACCAGTTCCAAAGCGTTTCCTTGACGCGTCTCTTCGGCACGTTCCGCGTGACGGCGAACGCGCGCCGTCTCGAGTGACGCGAGAGAGTGCGAGAGAGGAGGGCACGTTAATTCGGGGTATACCGATGTGCGCGGCCGCGCGCTCGCCCTCCCACCGGAACGCATGCACTCACGCACACGACTGCACCGTGATTTTCGGCGTGCCGTTCGACGCGCTCGCGCGGTTTCGCGGGAGTCGTTCTTTCGGGTGATCATCGCTCCGGATGAGTCATTCGCAGCGGAGGAATGCGCCACTTTGTATCTTACTCGCTCGCATAATACCTACGTAAGTTCCTCCTTCGTCAACGTATCGATAGCGCCTAACATCGCTCGTCAATTCGATCGACAATACTAGGCAGCGGCCGCGAGGGGGTAGCGAAATACAACGATATCTTCGTGAAGAATTTTGTTAATCGCACTTCAAGTAGCGAGGCGAACCAGTCCCCAGGCAATAACTTCGTCCTCGTCGCGAGCGCGGCAAACGGCCGATTGTATTCACAAGAGGTCGTTTCGCGAGTCGGAGAACGATAAAAAGGACGGCGGCCGGCGATGGAATTCATTCTCTGGAAATCTAAACTGCTGAAAATCGCGATTCCGACGTCGAAATCGATTATTCGGTTCCCAATGACGCGTTCGTTTCCTCGCCGATTTTGAGACGACAGTCTCTCAAAGCGGGTATATCCGAAATTGACGGAGTCCCTTTGTATAGATTCGATCGAGCCTCTATCTTGTCTTTGCGCTCCCGACCGGGGCACGCACGCTACGCAATGCGAAATCGGGAAATCGATATCTCGCGGGCTCCGAGCAAAGTGAATCGTTCGGCTTTACCGATCCGCTTCGCCGGCGTTTTTAAAAGCGACGCGATTCGCAGCCAGAAAGAAACTCTCCGCGCGCAGTTAAATTGATCCTAATTGGGCCGCCGTCGGCGGCAGTAAAATGTTGCGATCCGTCGTTCGGGCTGCGTTTTATCGTCGCAACAACCGGTTGCATTGTGGATCGCTCGGATCGTAAAAACGCTGATTGTAAGGGGGCCCGTACGAACGCTATCTCTGCCATCGGGAGGGAGAAAAATCCACAGACCGGTATTTCTCGGCGCGCCGTCGATCCGAGTGTGTATTTCTCTTCTTCTTTTCTTCCGTTCGACCGCGAAACTCGTTCGATTTCAGCGACGTGAAAACCAGATAGCCGTTTCGCATTAATCAGCCGCTCGACCTGCTCGAACATACACAGGTGTCGTAGTTTTTAGTATCTCTTAAACATTTTTTTGTCTATTCGTCATCGATCTGCACGCGCGCACGCTTCAGTACACCTCATTCGACGAAATGAAGGTTAATCGACATGTGTCGCTTTTAGTTCATCTTCCTCTTTTTGCACACCACGTCTGCACGCTTTTTAGTGCCGCTGATGCATTATTCATCGTGGCAGACGTTGCTTATTCTCGGACGACGTGACACGCGCTGCGTTACTTCGTCCCGGCATTATTAAATAATTCAGATTTCTCTCCGCTCTCGTGGATGCATCTCTGCTTCGGTAATCTCGTTGCCGCGACGATAAGCGCTGATTGCCGTTACACCGCCGGTAAACCTGTCACCCCGGCTTGCAACCACGTTACGCGATGACACGCGAGAATCGTAAAGTCAACGGCGATGCCCGGCACGCCCGTCAACAATGCCAGCTCTCACAAATGGAATCCTCGTCCGA